CCCTGCGCTTCCCGCGCTCTCCTGTTCCCGGCATCCCCTGCGCTCCCCGTTCCCGGCGCTCCTCGCGGCCTCCGCCCTCCGCGCGGCGGGCCCCGCCCCAGGGGCGACCGTTAGCGCGTCCGCGGCCCGAGCTCTTGGTCCCGCCCACGCGGCCGCGCTATTGGGCGGCGTGCCGTGGCCGCGAGCGCCACGCGCTGCCAATTGGCGGCCTCTCCAGCCCGCTCCACGATTCCCCCAATGCGGGGCGCCCGCGTGCTGGGATTGGCCACGAGTCTCCAAGGCCCGCCCTCCGCTGGCCCCGCGCGGCAGGCGGGTCCGCGGACCGGAGAGAGCTTGGGAGGCCTTTCTAGATGGCGGCAGCGGCGGCCGTGGCGGTCAGGCCGTGAGGGTCTCCCTCCCTTGGTCGAGCTGCGGGCAGCTCGGGCACGCCGCGGGCGCCGGAGGTAGGTGCGGGGCGCGAGGAGCGCCCCGCGGGCGGGGCGGGCGGGCGGGCGCTGCGGCCTGCGCGAGGGCGCGCCCTTCTCCTCCCTCCTTCCCGGGCCAAGGGCTGAGGGCCCGAACGGCGGGGTGGGGCGGAGCGGGAGGGCGCGAGGCGGGGCAGCCACGCGGAGTCCTGGCCTTTGTGAAGCATCATGGCCGCGGGCCTCCGAGGACGCGGGGCGGGGGTACCTCCGTGGCGGGGTGGGGGTGGGGCGGGGGCGGGCCCCAGGCCCAGGTGGCGCCGACGCGGATCGCTTTCCGCCCGGGCAAAGCCCGAATGTAAAGAGGTCCCTCGCCCTGGGGACCCGAAGTCGTAGCGTCGCTTTCAGGCGGGAAAGGTACGAACCCGGTTAGTGCTCGCCCAGGATCCTGCCGGGTGTAACAGTTTGGGAAATCTGAGAAGTCGTCTAAGTCTTTTTCTTCGTCAAATGCTCGTGGACTGAGTGTCACTTAGATAGGCAGAATGTGGTTTTGTTGTAACAATAGTCGTGGTAGAAATAAATGGAAGGTGACAACCTGTTGATAGTGATACCTGTCAAGTATCATTCGATGGACTTGGGTTGCTCATGGTAGGAATTTGATTTGCTGTTGTGCATGCTTGCATGTACCTTGATACCTGATGCACGGCAGTCCAGGCTAGAGCTGGTGACTGTGAGGCCAACCAGCAGGCGGAGACCCTCTGTTTCCTGGTCGAAGCCTGGACTCCCAGTCAGAGGCCTCACGCACAGTGGCTCAAATTCTGCCGCAGGCTGTCACTCACCAAAGGGAGTGAATGGCTAGTCTGGAGTGCGCCTGTGAGTACAGGATGTGAGGCCTGTTAGAGGATGACAAAAGGAATGGATGAGGTCATACTGCTGCTGGGTTGGGCGGGAGGCTGCAGTGTGAGAGGCTTGACCGAAAGGCACCAGCCCCAGCACTGGACATGACAGCCAGCGCCTCAATGCCAGCTCAGCAAGTGGACTTCTGTGAAGGGCGCTGTCCAAGCCTATTGGTTTTACCCCATGTGCCAGGGATCCAGGGGAGCCTGCTGCGAGTCTGCTGCTGGCTTATGGTTCACTTGGCAAGCAAGGTTTGCATCCATGTGTTCAATCAGCTGCAGCAGCAGTGAGGCTGATGGTAGAAGAGTCACTCTTTGAGCCGATTATGGCCAGGCACTCTGTGGGGCACTTCCTGGGTATTGTTGTATAATCTGCCCATGACCTTGGTAGTAGAAAACATGAATCTCACCGGATTGCCTGGTCTTGGTACCTCTTAGTAGCTGCCCTTCCCCCTTTGGTGGTCTTAGCTAGCTTCCCGGCTTTATTGCCCTCTCTGTTTGACATCTCCCATTGCCTTCTCCAGCCCTGACCTCCCTTCTGAGCTGCTCTCTCTTCCAGATCTCCATATGTTACTTTGATGCCAAGTAGCCATGGCCAAACCTAAATCCTTATTTTTACCCACTCCACAACACTTCCCATGCTGCCTTCACCACCTCAATGCTTGACAGCTCCATTCCAATCCGTAGAGTCACCTGGATTTCTCTCTTAGGCCTCCATACAACACTCAGGACCATTTCTTACCACCTCCAGCTTAACATGCTATTCTGAACTGCCTGGTGAGCCTTTTAATTCTTCTCTTTGCTCTCACCCTTGCCCCCCCCCCCCACCCATGAAAGTTTTTCTGGACACAGAAGGATTCTTTTGAACTGTAAGATAGTGTAAAACCAAGGAAGCGAGGAGGGGAGCCAGTTTGCCTGGTGGTAAAGCAGCGTCACTGCTAGCTTTACTAGCAGTGTGACTTTGAGTAAGTGGCTTAACCTTTCTGTCCTTAACCTTCCTCTTAGTGCCTGAGAACTAGTGAGTGAAAACGCACCTCTTAGAGCAGGGCCTGCCTGAGGGTCGGTTGCCTCTGCGTCCTTGGATCATGCAACCTCAGTGCTTAGACCCTCCTGTCCTGTGGCCCATCTCTTAAGAGCCACAGTCCTGGTCTCAGTCACCCTTAGCGTGCTGCTTTCACCTGCTGCACTGCACTTCTACCCCAGGGCCTTTCCTCTTCTGTCATCTGGAAAATATCCTCTCTACCCACTTAGCTTACTCTCTTCTGCTTTCAGGTGGTCTCTGACTGTGTAGTCTTTGCTGTTTGCCCTTTCTGAAGTTGTGCTCCCGCCCCCAACTCCTTGCTTTGTTTTTTCTTGATACTTCTCAGCTTTCCTTAGTTGTTTCTTCATCTCTCTTTCTAAAAAGTGAGCTCTGTGAGGTAGGGATTTTGTCTGTTTTGTGTCCTTAGCATCTAGAATGGCACATGGGCCATATAGAAAACGTTCAGCAAACTTGTTGAATGAGGAGAGCAAGCTTACAGGGGAAAGTAAGGAACTTGTCCAGGACTGCCCTACTGTAGAGTTCTGAACCTTGAGTTGCTGCTGCTTGGGGTTGGTCAGCCTTTCCTGATCTCCCAGGGAGAAGGAACACTCTTTTTTTCTCTATAGCTCCCTGACCCCACCCCCTGCACCTCTTCTAGGCCTCCCTGCATTGTTGTCATTATCATCTTTGCTTTGTGCTTTGGTGATGGCAGCTGCTTGGTCTTTTAACATGGTAGCAGGTGTCCCCATCCTGTACCACCATTTGTTTTCAGTTCTCCCCTCCTTTTCAGCTCCCAGAATCACAGATTGGCTCTTGGTAGTGTCTCCACAGACCTACCAGAAGCCGAGAGGTTTGGTCCTGATTTTTATCTGTGTTCTGTAGCACTGTACATGCTGACCTGTCTGTCCTTCTCTGAAATGATATTTGTTGGTTGCCAGGAAACTGGACTTATTTTGCTCAGTTCTCCTCATGCCTGTTCAGCTGCAGCCTCCTTAGGGTTTACCTCAGTTCTGAGTCTTGTTATCTGTATGCTGTATTCCCTTGATCTTTAGCACCTTTGACAGATATACCTTTGGGGGAAGTATTGTGGTAAAATTCCCACTGAATTCAGAAATGTAAGGACATTTTAGAATCTCGGAAATAGAGTGACAGCTTAGTGGTCATTGCCCTTCCAACTGTGTCCAGGTGGTGGGGACCTTGTCTCTTGCTCATGGTGGTACATGTAGAAAGCCAGTGAATGAATATTGGTAGAATGAATTAATTAAATCTGAGTAAGTCTCTGATGTTTATGTTGTGTCTCCTTGAAAGTACAACCACCACGCACTACTCCTTCACTGTAAACTTCTTAAATGTGTGATATCTGCTGTCTTCTGTTCTGTCCATATAGCCAGTCAAGCCTGCCCTATGTGGGCATGGGCATGCATGTGCATATCTGCATCTGTGTGCATGGCATGTTCATGCGTGTGTGTGTGTCTGCATGGTGTGGGAGTGTGTGCGCATACACATTTGCATCTGCACGTGCTTCTTCTGCTTTGATGCCCGGCCCCCCGCAGACCTCTGGGTTTTTGGATTGTTCTCTGACCTGCCTTTTCACATCATCCCTTTTGTAGTCATTTCTCTGAAGGGAAGCTTCCCAGAGTTGCATCCTCAACCCTCTTCTTGGTCTTTGTTGCCTCTCTGGGCAGCCTCTCTCCTGTGCTTTTAGTGACTGTCACCTTGCTGATACGTTCTGGGCTTCTGTTTCGGGGCCAGTCACAGCTCCAGAGCTATGGCCTCAGCACCTAATGGACAGGTCTGCTTGGAGGCTCCATCCATTCTCCTCCGCAGGCTCCTGCCTGAATGCTGGAACACGTGTGTCCCTCCAGAGGAGAAGTCTCATTTGCCTTCAGTTCCCTCTTGTCTCTGCTCTCCACCTCTACTCGGTCAGCAGTGTGGTCAGTTCTGTGTCTTCACTGTACTTGAGGGCTCCAGCCCTGTTAACAGAGCCTATTTCATACCTTTGTGCTCTGGCCTGGAGGACTGACTGCCATCTATGCCTTGGGCATAGGCACTGGGCCTGGCACAGCTGTCAGTCTCCCTTTTCAAATAAGGGCTGAATTGTGGCATGGGAATCACTTCACCCTTGGTGGCTCCTTATTGTCCCCCAGGAGGGAGCCAGGTTCCGGATGGCACCCAGGGCTTCCTATGCCTTGGCTCCAGCTGTCTCCTGAGGCTCCCCCCACCAAGCCTGGCCAGGTTCCCTTCCCCACAGCCACCACCCCCTCCTCTACTGGGAACAGAACCATGCCACCTCTGGCGACCTCAGCACGCTGCATCACTGTCTCGGTCCACGTGCCACCTTGTGGGCCCAGGAGAGCCCTGGGGTCCCTGGGTAGCAGAGCGCCTGGTCGTACCTCTGAGGCCCTAGTGCCGCAGAGTTGAGCTGAGGGTCTCGCACTCGCCCTCGCCCTCTGACTGACCCAGCCCTAGCAGGTGAGTGGATCCATATCGCTCTGATGGCCAGAGGGAGGCCACACACCTTATGTGTGTTCTGGAAAGGGCAGCCTTGCACCGCGAGCTTGCTTACCTATTAAACTGAGTTAGGGGAATGCTGCGGTGAAGCTTAGCCTAGTTTAAAAAAAAAATTTTCTTTTGAGCCTTAACATTAATAATTTTTTTTTGCTTCTGAAGTAGGAATTACAGTGGACAATTAAGGTATTTAATTTTGCACTTAAATTATAATTTAGGTTCTGAAGAAAGAAGGTAGAGCAGTTGTTTTAAAGCCTAGAAGGTTCTCTAAGGCAATAGTATTTCACATTCTTTACTACACTGTTAATAGCACTTGATTCTCAGTACCAGGGAAGCAGAAGGTTTCTGTCATTTTGTGACGATGTTTTTAAATCTCTTTGCAGGTGGAAGAAGAAAGGTGCCACTTTGGCATGAAGACAGACTCGCTTAGTCGTCAGTCATTTAAGCTGAGTGCATTGTGATTTCCAATAATTGAGGCAGTGGTTCTAAAAGCTGTCTACATTAATGAAAAGAGCAATGTGGCCAGCTTGACTAAGCCGCCAGCGTGTGCAGCGCGGGCAGGACGGCACCCGGGTCTCAACGGACTTGTGCATGTTAGCTGTATAGATTTATGTAAGGTTTTTTAAAACTCTGGTCTTTTAAAATAGTCTTAACCACTTTTACTATGGAGACATATGAGAGTCCCTCTCCTCTCCCGCGTGAGCCCGCAGGAGAAGCGGTGATGGAGATCCGAGCTTGCCCCCTCCAAGCGCTGCCCCGTGAACAGTCTCCACCACCTCCCCTGCAAACGTCCAGTGATGCAGAGGTAATGGACGTTGGCTCTGGTGGTGATGGACAGGCCGAACCCCCTGCTGAGGACCCGCTCAACTTCTACGGAGCTTCTCTTCTCTCCAAAGGATCCTTCTCTAAGGCCCGCCTCCTCATAGACCCGAACTGTAGTGGCCACAGCCCGCGCACCGCCCGGCACGCACCTGCGGTCCGGAAGTTCTCCCCTGACCTTAAGTTGCTTAAGGATGTAAAGATTAGCGTGAGCTTTACCGAGAGCTGCAGGAGTAAGGACAGGAAGGTGCTGTACACAGGAGTGGAGCGCGACACTCGTGCAGAGTGTGGTCTGGCCCTTAGCCCTGTCAGTGGAGACGTGCATGCTTGTCCCTTTGGCGGGAGTGTTGGGAACGGGGTAGGTATAGGGGGTGAGAGTGCTGATAAGAAGGATGAGGAGAATGAGCTGGATCAGGAAAAGAGAGTGGAGTACGCAGTGCTCGATGAGTTAGAAGATTTTACTGACAATTTGGAGCTAGATGAAGAAGGAGCAGGCGGGTTCACGGCTAAAGCAATCGTGCAGAGAGACAGAGTGGATGAAGAGGCCTTGAACTTCTCCTATGAGGTATGTTGGCGACCCCTCCTTTGGAGCACTCTTAGCAAAACCCAAAGAGGTGTTGGGAACTGCAGCATCTTTTGAAAGCTGATGTTGCAGAGGAAAAAAAAAAAACTCATATGAGGTGGAATAATGTTAATGTGGAAAAGAAAAAACTGTAAGAAATCCAAGTTTTTAAATTTTTCCTAAAGAAAGGTTTGGCTGAGCAGTCGACCTTGTACCCTTTATGCAGCCTGAGTTGGAAGGTGCTGCTGAGAAGCACTTCCTGGTGGCGTGTGCACCTGTGCCAAGTGTCAAGTGTGTTGGTTGCAGTTTTCAGTTTCTTCCTGTTTGTTTTTCAGATAATCACGCAACATAAAGGCATACCTAGGCCCCCACTTGAGAGTGCCTCATTTCTGTGTCCGTTCTCAGTAATGCTGTTGAGCTTGCCTGCGGTACAGGAACACGGGCTCTGGGGGCCCTGGTGTCTGAACAGCATGTTTTGCAGGATGATTTTGACAACGATGTTGATGCTTTGCTGGAAGAGGGCCTTTGTGCTCCCAAAAAGAGAAGAATGGAGGAGAAGTACGGAGGAGACAGTGACCATCCATCTGATGGAGAGACGAGTGTGCAGCCAATGATGACCAAGATTAAAACTGTGCTAAAAAGTAAGTCAGCCAGGTAGAAAGTCGTGTGTTCGTGGGGCGGCAGAAGTGCTGGTTAGAGAGCCCTTGGGTGCCAGGCAGTGGTCTGAGCAGTGGGCACATGTTTGAGGAAGGACAGTCACGTGTGATGAGGGGAAACAGACAAGACACAGGGGTGCACCAGATACACGATGACCTGGGTGCAGATTGTGGTGTCCGCTGTGGTTGCACACCGGAGTAGCTGGTGTTGTTCAGGGGAATGGGGGGGCACTTCTGATGGGGTGAGGAGTTGGGGATGGTGTTGTTGCTGGGAGATGAGAAGAGGGACAAGTGGAAATGTGAGGCCAAGGCCAGAGGTGGGTGCAGCACTGTGGCAGGTGATGGTTGCAGTCTGGGTTCTGGATTCTCTGCCAAGTGTCAGGAGAAGCCTGTAGAAGCAGGCTGGTGTTGTTACACAGTTTTTGTCTAAAAGCATAGCTCGTATGGCTGCAGCCTGGTGTGTGTGCTTTAGGTGGCCAGGGTGGGAGCTCCTGTGATAGGGGTAAAGGTGTTCCAAAGGTGCACTTGGATTTGGGGTTGGCGGGGAGCAGTCGGCCTGGAGTTGCCTGTGGGGCTGGGCATTGGGCAGTGCGATGAGACTGAACAGATGCATGGGGACTCGGGAGCACAGTTGAGACCTTAGGCTGAGGGCTGGGGTGCAGAAGGTGGCCGGGCGTGATGGGAGGGAAACGAGGTGTAGGTGGGGTGCAGTCTCCCACGGCAGAGTGGATGGGTTGGGTGTGCCAGGCGCCACAAAGCCCTGTCCGTTATGAGTGGCCTGGTTTAGGTTCACAGTGCCTGGCCATGACTGCAGGCTTGCCACTGGACCTGCCTGCACAGGGCACTGCTGTGTCTTTCCCTCTGCAGCCTTCTGCTCCACCTCACCTGCCTGGCAGCCTGCCCCACAGTGCTGCCTTCCAGGAGCTGCAGCACGGGCCTCACTCACAGGCTGTGTGTAAGCTGCATGTGAACTCTTCAGATGGCTGGGCCAATTTTATGACTTCTACTTGTCACAAATGAGTAGGATCTGTGTCCCTTGTTGTACTTTGCTGGAATTTTGTTTGCCTCTCTTTGTCCTTACTCAGCCCAAAGCTGGTGTAAGGCAGCTCCTTGGCTCTAGCCTGGGTAGGGGAGAGTGCCTGACAGTGTCTCTGCACCTCTGACCTGTAGTGCTCCCTCCTGGGGGCCATCCTGGCATCAGCTATCAAGCCAGTATTGTTACGTTCTGATGTCAGGCCAGGGCTTAACATTGTCAGCTGGGGACCTGGCACGGGGATGGCTACTCCTTTGTCCGTGAGAGTCCTTCATGCTATTTCATTATGTCTATGTTTTTAAATTTTCATTTGCTTTTTTCTTTTGTTCCTAAATTACTTGCTCCCAGTTCCTTAAGAGAATTAAGTTTCAGTTAAGTCTTTGTATTTTTCCTAGTCACTGGGCCTGTCAGTGGCAGGTATCAAGTGTGTGATACGTCTTGAGCTTTTTTCTGTGACTGCCTGTAAAGTGAGGAAGGGATTGGGAGTAGTGGTTTTTTTTTTTTTTTTTTTTTTTTTTTTAGGGAGTAGTGTTTTAAAACTGATTTAGAAACATATGAATTGAGGGCACCTGGTTGGCTCAGTGGGTTAAGCCTCTGCCTTCGGCTCATGTCATGATCTCAGGGTCCTGCATCAGGTTCTCTGCTCAGCAGGGTGCCTGCTTTCCCACTCCCACCCCGACCCCCTGCATGCCTCTCTGCCTACTTGTGATTTCTCTCTGTGTAAAATAAATAAATAGAGTCTTTTAAAAAAATTAAATTTAATTAAAAAAAAAAAACGAATGAATTGGAAGTAGTGTTTCATTTGCCAGTGAGAGTGTGCAGCTCAGGTACAAGGAACACTTGCTGTTGAGTCATGGGAGCAGTGGTCAGCAGACATGCAATTGATTAGCAAAGCTTACTCAGCCCCTGGGGCGCCTCTGGCCACAGCCGAGGCGGGCAGTGAGGGATTGAGGACCGGGGTCCCCACAGCTTGCAGACAGCAGCTGAGGCCAGGACTCGTGTCTTGCAGAACCTTGTCCCAGGCTCCTTCATGTACCACGTGCTCTTCTAGGCCCAAGAGGACAGCAGTGAACAAGGCAGACAGCTTCCTGGTTGAGGAGGGACTTAGATTCTCTGGATTGGAGCCATATAAACAAGCACAGCATTGAGAACAGAGTTCATGCATGGGCGGTGCTGAGTGGCAGGCAGGGCTGGGGTAGGCTCTGTCTGGTGGGGGGTGGGGTACTCCCCTACTCCCCTAGTTCGTTAGATGTTCTTTTCAATCTTCAGTTGACTCTGCTATTTTTATCTGCCATGTGTCGTAATTTTGAAGCTATCTCTACAACTCCCAAGTGTTTTTGAAGTGATTGTGGGATGCTCTTGTCTTCCGTGCAGGTCGTGGCCGTCCTCCTACAGAACCATTGCCCGATGGGTGGATCATGACATTCCATAACTCTGGAATCCCAGTGTACCTACACAGAGAGTCTCGGGTGGTCACCTGGTCCAGGCCATACTTCCTGGGAACGGGAAGCATACGGGTAGGGGATGCATCAGTCATGAATTTAGTCTTGTAAGTTTGCAGACCGAACATGCACATGCTGTGTTTGCATGGTAGCCAGGAAGAGGCAAGTGGAAGGCTTCAGATGTTCGGAACTCCGGGGTCATCCTTGTAATCTGTGTTGCAATTTCACTATCCACAGAAACATGATCCTCCTCTGAGCAGCATTCCATGTCTTCATTACAAGAAAATGAAGGACAATGAGGAAAGAGAGCAAAACAGTGAGCTCGCCCCCAGTGGGGAAGTGTCCCCTGTCAAGCCCCTGAGCCGATCTGCGGAGTTGGAGTTCCCCCTGGAAGAGCCCGACTCCATAGGAGCTGACTCGGGGGCCCTAGATGAGAAGGACCCACTGGGGGCTGAGGCTGCCCCTGGGGCCCTGGGGCAGGTGAAGGCCAAGGTTGAGGTGTGCAAAGACGAATCAGTTGGTAAGTTTCTGGGGTGAACTTTCCTTCCTTCCTTGCTGGCTGGGATCCATCTGCAGGGAAAAGACTGCACTCTACGCCTTCCTTAGGGTCACGTTCCTCCTGCTGAAGGCCACCTGTTCTGCTTTTTTCTGTGAGGAAGGGACTTCTATGGACCTCTCTCCACTCTTAACGTGGTGGTGGGAAATGCCTGTCTCCCTGATCTTAGGACCTGCCTTGGTCTGTGGGCCCCGCATGGCTGGTGCTGCCATGGACATGGCTGCTGTCAGTGCGGACTGGCCTTTCTCTGGTCACTTTTGTGACATTTCCTGAAATCCTGGTTTTTCAGTAGGATGTGCTCCCATGGTGTCGTTTTGATCTATCCTGATACACTCACAATGAACTTCTTCAATCCACAGATTCAGTACTGAGAGACAGCCACTATTCTGTAGATGTTCCCGCTCTTCAACCCCATGATGGCTTTTGGCTCTGTGTTGGTGTTTCTCTTCTCTCTTCTGTGTTTTTTTGCTTAGGCCTACCCATGCAAGTCTTAACTGTCTCTACAGTGGTGGCAGACATCTCAGCTCACCTGCTGAATCTCTTTCAAAGAGGACTTGGTGTTTTTAGGGTTTTTGGTTATTGCTATTTAGATATTGTCTGAATATTGCTGCCCAGCCTTTCTTGTAACTCTTAGGTGTGAGGAGCCTAGAAAAGCTAGGGCAGAGTGGGGGTTGGGAGGAGGCACCACTGCTGAGGGAGGGGTGGCCTTGGTGGAGAGGGCCAGATGGAGCCTTAAGCATCTGGGGAAAGGCAGGGTGTGTCACTGGCCCCCAGCTTCTCCCGTGCACTGACTGCCTTCTCCCCCCAACCTGCCTGCCTTTTGCCTCCCTCCCCATCCACGTCAGCTTCCCCTGTCTTCTGTCTGTATCGGGACTTTTCTCAGGACCCAGCTGGACAGGAACTTTTGCTTTAAGACCTCAACATAATGGTTTCTTTCTTCAAATCCATCTTTTACGCACACATGACACCTGAATGTGTTCTTGCTTTCCGGACAACACCTGCGTTTCACTTCTAATTTTAGTCCCGTGGGAGAGGTGACCACTTGGACTTGTTTCCAGACTTCCTTCCTTGCGTTCACGTGTAAAGAAATACATGGTTTAGGGGTGTGATCAAGTGGGTGCAGGTATATTGTTTCACAGCCCAGTGCTTTAACCAGGTATTTCTCGGTCTTGCATGTAGAACTCCTCCCTCTGCTTCTGCACGTATTGTTCTTAGGGCTGAGTGTGAGGCCCAAGAATCCCTGCCTCAGGGCTTACACTTGAGTAAGAAACCAGTGAGGGTGATGTGAGCCTCTAGGATATCTTGGGAGAGAGAGGGATAGTGGGTACAACAATAAAAGCAGGAGGCCCCTGGGAATGTCACTGAGTGGGGTGGGTGGTGAGCAGTAGGACCGGCCCAGTGTCTGTGTTGGGAGAGGCATGGCAGGTGCCAGGGCCGCAGCTGCCTGGGTGTGTTGCTGAGTGTGCGAGCAGCCAGGGTGGCTGGAGGGGAGAGCACAAGGTGCACAGTGCTTCAGCCACTGTGGTACTTGTTTTGATATGGGAAGAAAAGTCTTGAAGGCCAGCTGGTTTGTTGTTGTTGTTGTTTTTAAAGCTTTTTTTCTTCTTGTCCTTGTTCCAAATAGACTAAAAGAGCATCTCAGAACTTTGCCCATATGGGACCTTCCTGAGTAATTTGAGTGACAGGACCTGATTCAGGGGTGCCTGGGTAGCTCAGTTGGTTACGAGTCTGCCTGAGGCTCAGGTGGTGATCGCAGGGTGCTGGGATCGAGCCCCATATTTCTCCCTCTCCTTCTCCCTCTCCTTCTGCCCTTCTCCCGCACTTGTGTTCTTCTCACTTGCGCGCGCTCTCTCTCTCTCAAATAGATAAGTAAAATCTTAAAAGAAAGAAAACAAAAAAGGACCTGATTCTTTGCTTTCCTTGCCCTTCAGAAGGAAAAGGGAATGGGGAATGGCATGGCAGGACCTGTTTGATGGGCAGCCTAGCACCATCCTACTCACTGGACGGAGGAAACATGACTCTTAGGTTGGAAGTTAGTAGTTTTGTTCTGTGGTAAATCCACACAGATCTTGAGGAGTTTCGGAACTACCTGGAAAAGCGTTTTGACTTTGAGCAAGTCACTGTGAAGAAATTCAGGACTTGGGCCGAGCGGCGGCAGTTTAACCGAGAAATGAAACGGAAACAGGCCGAGTCTGAGAGGCCCATCCTGCCAGCCAATCAGAAGCTCATCACCCTGTCTGTGCAGGATGCACCCACAAAGAAAGGTGAGTTGGGGTGTGTAAATTTTCTCTTCGGCAGATGGGTGATCCTGTTGTTTTTCACTTGATGGTCTTAGAACGTATGTTGTGTGTGTGAGTTGCATTTTACTTCTAAGCTTATGTCGATCCTATGAATGCAGAGGTGCACTGCGTTCATGTTGGTGAACCCCTAATTCAGTGAGGCGCTAACGTGGATGGTGCCTGGCCCTGAGAGCTAGCTTGCCACAGGTCCTCACGCTGTTGCTGAGATAGGCCTTCTTGTCACAGAGTTTGTCATTAACCCCAACGGGAAGTCCGAGGTCTGCATCCTGCACGAGTACATGCAGCGTGTCCTCAAGGTCCGCCCCGTTTATAATTTCTTTGAATGTGGTAAGTTTGACCTCCCTCACCTCAGCCTTGAAGAATCCTACACCTCACTGGGGCCATAGCTGGGGAGGCGGGAACTGACCGTTAACCCCACTCTGCTGGGAGAGAAGTGAAAGGGCATGGCAGGGAGAAGGGTGCTGCAGAGGGGCAGGTTGGTTTCCCAGCCGTATACCCCTTCTGCGGGCAGATGCCCCTGCCTCCCCCTTTCTTCATTCCCACTACCCCCACTCCCACCTTTCTCTCATCCCTTGCTCTGAGGAAGGCCCTCTCACTGTCTCCACTTGCCCCCAGGTGGGTGAAGGGGCCTCAGGCCTGCATTTCCCACCAGCTGTCTCCTGTTGTCATCTGCATCACACCTTTGTGAAAACCAGTTTATCTTCCCCGGGGAACCCTGAACCCAGGCGTCACTCATCGTTTCATGTCGTTGCTTGGCGTCCTGCGTCTGTACATCTCTGTTCTTCACAGTCCTCTGTCCATCTTTCACAGACATTGTTCCTTGTGCCTGTTGGCTTGGCCTCTGGCCTCCTGTTCCCCTCCAGCTTATTGGTCCTCTGTTTCCCAGTTTTCCTGGCATGCTGTCTGCCTGCTACCCAGTCCTTGGCCCTGTCTCCGTGCCTCAGGGAGCGCCCATGTCTCCCTTCCAGCAGTAGCCCCAACCCTACCTTATCTGTTGGTGCTAGCAGATTGTATATGTGCACGTATGCATGCTTTTAATGTCTCAGCAAGCATTTTTAAAACCATGATTTTAATTTTAAGAGAACCCAAGTGAACCTTTTGGTGCCTCGGTGACCATTGATGGTGTGACCTATGGATCTGGAACTGCAAGCAGCAAAAAACTTGCGAAGAACAAAGCTGGTAATGTGGCTACTTAGATGTCAGAGACCCATGCTACCCACAGTGTCCACCCCTCCCCTTGGCTTGGGAGGGCTGGGGGTGGGCCAAAGCCATTTGGTTTTTTAAAAAGTATGTGCTCAAAGACTCAAATAGGAAGTAAAATGTGAGAAATAAAACTAGAGAACTCAAACCTTCTCTGCTATGTGGCAGCTGGGCTAGAATTTCCTACCCTTGTCCCCACTGCTCACAGAGCCAACTGGGTCATGGTGAATACACATTCTATGGGTTTGTATATAAATCGAGCAAAATGTGGGCATGCTAGATGACAAAGAGGGATTTTCCTGAATGGTTTTGACATGTGTGAGGATGATTTTCTGAGTCCTCCAATCTCTAGATTTGGGACTGAAGGTAATTGGTCAGATTCCTGGGAAGGCCTATGTTTTCCTTTTCCAGTTAAGGGAAGCCATTCTGCTTCACCGTCAGGGTTACGTGGCCTCTTCTTGGACATGGAGCACATTTTAGGGTGGGTGTTGGGGGTGTGCACAGGCCTGGTGTCCACAGTTCAATTCTTAAGGTTTCTGCCTCTGCTGTAGTGTCTTCCAAAGCAGGTCTGCCCTGTACCCACGTGAAGTATGTCGGCTTCATCACTTTCTTACCAGATCTCAGGTGGTGAAAGTGCTTTTGTTTGTGGGACTCAGAGTTTACCTTGGAGTTGCTTTCTTTTGTGGTGTATGCTGAGGATGGTTGGGAGGATATGTCACTTTTTGTCCTTCCTTCTCTGGGGCTGTACTGGGCTCACACACTACACTCCTCTGGGAAGGCCTCCTGTCCATTTTAGAGAGATTGTGCCAAAAGGGTTTTTCAGCTCAACAAATTAGTGCTGCCAAGGTCATGGGGCAGAGGGCTCACAGAGTAGGGCGCATGGTAGGAGTGGAAGCATCCTGGCAGCAGGGCTGTGCTCTCCCCATGTGTGAGGATCCACTTCCTCTGCTCAGACCTCAGCTGCTCTCTAGATAATTCACTTGGATGTCTTGCCAGCACCTCCGACTCTGTAGGGACTGGTTGTTACCCCTCCCCATTCCCCAGCGCCCCCACTTCCTCACCCCAGTGTGAGTGGCAGCCTGCTCATTTAGAAATCTCTGCTCGGCACTGAGCCATCCCTCTGCTCGGTCCTGCAGACGCTTTCTCAAGAGCATCTGTCCGGTCTCACTGCTTTTCCCTCCCATACTCACAGCAGCCTGTTCAGTCTCCTGGCCTCACTACTTGGCCTGGGTCCTGCTGAGCCATTTGCCTGCACGCCACCACCGTGATTTCTCTGAAACATCTCTCTGGCCTTGCCTGCTACAAGCGCCTCAGGGCAAGAGAACATACAGCTTTTGTGGCTTCCGAGGCTGCCCACAGCCTCACACTTGCCCCACTGCGTCCTTTGCTCAGGATGTGCTCCTCCAGCCTCTCCTCTGCCTGCCTCTGAAACGCTGCTGTTGCCCAGGGCCCTCGCTTCCCTCTCAGCCCTGGGAACCTTGGCCCTGCACAGGAGCTGGCGTGTGGCTTGCTCTGGAGTCCGGAAGCTGGGCCCAAGCCCTCACCTTTGGGGTTTTTCTTTTCATAGCCCGGGCTACGCTGGAGATCCTTATCCCTGACTTTGTCAAACAGACCTCTGAGGAGAAGCCCAAAGATAGTGAAGAGCTTGAGGTGAGTTTCCTAGTCCTGCTGTCTAGAGCTGTGGCTCCAATGCAGCGCCTGCGTCACTGCCCACCTCCCTCCAGGCTAGTGCGAGCTGTGGATTTAGTCATCCCAGCTCCAGGTGGTTTTCATTTGTTAATCTTTCATAAAAGGGGAAACTTGTTTGTCTTTGTGCAAGCAAGTTGGGGGGAATGTCATTTTTTTTCTGAGATTTTTGTCCTCCGTGTCTTGCAATGGGGGGTAAAAAATGCGCACTGTCAGCTCTCCTGAGTGTAGATCCATGGTGGGAATCTGTCTTTGAGACAGAGTCTGTAAGTTATGTTGTTCTCTGTATTAAGAACTGTTTAAAACTATTTGTAAACCTTTTTGGGTAAATATGATTCTGTGGTTATGTGTAGTGAGGGCTTTTCAAACTCTGAAGAAGGCATTCTTTTATAACGGCTTTATTGATCTATATGTACCATAAATTTTGGTCCCTTAAACTATACTGTTGAGTGGATTTTTGTATATTCAGAGTTGTGCAATCATCGCAGTGATAGAATCTTAGAATATTTTCATCTCTCTAAAAGGAAATCCTATACCTGTTAGCAATCACTCCTGATTTCTTCCTGTCCCCCAGCCCCTCAACCCTTGGCAACCACTAATCCCCTTTCTGTTTTGATGGATTTGCCAGCTCTGGACACTTCGTATCAGTGGAATCATATGACATGTGGTTCATTATTGACTGGCTTCTTTTTAAGCCACCAGGTGTTAGCTCTGGGTTTTAACTGATTGAAGAAGTTTCCTTCTGTTTTGCTGAGAGTTTTTTTTTTTTTTCAGGAATGGTTGTTGGATTTTGTCAAATGTTTCTCCTGCTTCTATTGAGATGATTGTGTGGTTTTTGTCTTTTTTACTCATATGGTGGTATATTGCATAAGTTTTTGAATAGTAAAGCAACCTTGAATTTCTGGGACAAATCCCACTTGGTTGTGGTATATGTAAGTTTTATGTATGCTGGATTTAGAGTGCTGGTATTTTGTTACGGACTTTAGCTGTATTTATGAGGAATACTGGTCTGTAGTTTTCTTGTGGTGTTGGTGTTGGGGAAATACTGTCTTTACAGAATGAGGTGGAAAGTATTCCTCTCTTCTCTTGTGTGGAATAGCTTATGAAAGGTTGGTATTAATTTTTAAGCATTTGGTAGAATTCACCAGTGAAACCATCTGAGTCTAGACTTGACTTTGAGATTATTTAATTACTGATTCAATCTTTTCATGTGTGCTTCTTTTTCTTTCTTTCTTTTTTTTTTAAAGGTCTTATTTATTTGGCAGAGAGAGAGCACAAACAAGGGGAGCGGCAGCTAGAGAGAGAGGGGGAAGCAGGCTCCATGTTGAGAAAGGAGCCGGATGCAGGGCTCGATCCCAGGACGGTGAGAGCATGACCTGAGCCGAGGGGAAATGCTTAACTGACTGAGCCACCCAGGCACCCCTCATGTACTTATCGTCAGATATCCTGCTCCTTTTTGAGCTGGTTTGGGAACTTTGTGTCTTCATAGGAATTTTTCCGTTTGACCTAGGCTGTCTCCTTTATTGGCATACATTCTTTCATAGTATTCCCTCGTGACTTGCTATATTTTGTTAAGTTTGTGCTGCTCCTATGTTCATTCCTGATTTTCGTTGTTTCAGTCTCCTTTTTTCTCTTGGTCAGTCTAAAGTTTGTCACTGTTGTTGATCTTTCAAAGATCCAATTTCTGATTTTGTTTGCTTGTTTGTTTTCCTATTGGCTTTTTTGTTTTCTGTTTCATTTATTTCTGCTGTAGCCTTTATATCCTTTCTTTGGCCAGCCTTAGGTTTAGTTCTTTTTTTCTAGTGTCTTCAGGTTAGGGTATTTATTTGAGGTGTTCTTTTTTTTTTTTTTTTTTTTTTTTTAAGATTTTATTTATTTATTTGTCAGAGAGAGAGAGAGAGAGAGCGAGAGTGAGCACAGGCAGATAGAGTGGCAGGCAGAGGCAGAGGGAGAAGCAGGCTCCCTGCTGAGCAAGGATCCCGATGTGGGACTCGATCCCAGGACCCTGGGATCATGACCTGAGCCGAAAGCAGCCGCTTAACCAACTGAGCCACCCAGGTGTCCCTGAGGTGTTCTTTTTAAATACTGGAATTTATGGCCATAAATTTTCTTCTGTGTACTACTTTAACTGCAGCACATAAGCTTTACTGTGTTGTGTTTCTGTTTTCGTTCATTTCCGAGTATTTTGCTAATTTCTCTTGTAATTTCTTCCTTGAACGATTGGTCATTTTACTTTTCATATATTTGTGAATTTCCCCAAATTTCCTTTAGTTGTTGGTCTTTATTTAATTCCTGTGTGGTTTGAAAACATAGTTTGTATGGTTTTGACCAGTCCTTTTAAGTTCACTGAGGCTTGTCTTAGGACCTACCATACCATCTGCCCTGGAGAGTGTTAACATGTGTGCAGGAGGCGAGTGTGCTTCCTGCTGTTACTAGGTGAAGCAGGTGTCGGTTAGGTCCAGTTGGCGAATGGTATTTATTCTATATCTTTGTTGGTCTTCTGCCTTGTTCTTCTATCTGTTTTTGTTTTTTGGTTTTTTTTTTCCCCTTAAGAGAGAGTGAGAGCCCCTGTGTACACATGTGCATGGGTGGGTGGGGCAGAGGGAGACGGAGAGAGAGAATCCTAAGCAAGCTCCATGCCCAGCATGAAGTTGGAGTCCAGCTCAGGACTCTGTCTCACGACCCTGAGGTCTCAGCCTGAGCCAAAATCAAGAGTCGGATGCCCAACTGGCTGAGCCACTCAGGTGCCCTGTCTTCCTTCTGTCTGTTGTTGAGAATGGGTATTGGAGTCTCCAGCTGTTACTCTTGAATTATGTGTTCCTTCAGTTCTCTCCATTTTTGCTTAATGTATTTTGGGGCTGTTGTTAGATACATACATGTTTGTGGTATTGTGATATAATAAGAAATGTATGTTTGGCCTTTGTTCTTGGTTCCTGGTGCAGAGCTTCTACAATATATTGTTTGTTTTTTGTCCCAACTTCTTTAAAAAGCTGCAGGTTGATAAAGGAGAATGGAATGTCTTTTCTTATTTTCTTATTTTTAATATCCATTTATCCCATCCCTCCCCTTCCCTTTCCTTCCTTCCTTCCTTCCTTCTTTCCTTCCTTTTGTTACTTTTATTTATTTAAGTCATCTCTATCACCAACCTGGGGCTCAAACTCAAGACCCCAATGTCAAGAGTTGCATGTTCCACCGACTGAGCCAGCCAGATTCCCCTAACACATCTCTTTCAACCACACCTGAGTTCATGTTAATCAAGTGACTTTTGGACCATCCCTTTGTGGAATCTGCCAGGAGGGTTAGAACTTTCAGCCTCTGCCCTTGCCCCGGCATGTGTGTAGTGTGTGTGTGTTTAGGAGGCAGTGGATGTTGAGCTGATCAGTAATGGCCAATGATGTAATCAGTTGTGCCTGTGTAGTAAAGCCTTCCTTAAAAAAAAACAAAACAAAACTGAGTGGTTCAGAGAGCTTCTGGGTTGGTGAACACATTGAGGTGCTAAAAAGATGGCATGCGCAGAGAAGGTGTGGATGCTCTGTACCCCTTCCTTTATACTTTGCCGTATTTATCTTTTCCATCTGGGTGTTCCTAAGCCCTATCCTTCTGTAATAAACCAGTTCTCTGTGAGCTGTCTGGGAAATTATTGAAGCTGAGGAAGGGTTGGGAACTGGCATTGTGCAGTTGCTCAGTGAGAAGCACAGGTGACAACGTGGACTTGAAGTCAAGTGGTGGCAACAGTCTTATGGGTCTGAGCCCTTAAGCTGTGGAGTCTGCTGCGGCTCCTGGCAGCGGTAGAGCTGCCTGGTGTGGAAGACCCACTCACTTGGTGTCACAAGTGTTGAAACTAGAATTCAGTTCTGTTTAATGTTTATAATAGTTACGTCATCTTGATGGATGGGCCCTTTGCCGTTTTTAAGTATCCTTTATTTCTAGTAACAGTTTTTATCTTAGAGTCAGTTTTATCTGATAGTCACTCCTACTCCCTAAATTACTCTGCGTGATATGTGTTTTCCCTCTTTATATCTTTTAAGCCTCTTTGTAACTTTGAATCTAAACATGTCTTATAGACAGCATATAATTGGGTTTTGTGTTTATCCTTCTATCAGTCTCTGCCTTTAGATCAGAGGACCTACCAGAGCAATTTTTTTTGGAAGATTCATTTTATTTAATTTTATTTCTTTATTTTTTTATAAGATTTTATTTATTTGACAGACAGAGATCACAAGTAGACAGAGAGGCAGGCAGAGAGAGAGGAAGGGAAACAGGCACCCCACTGAGCAGAGAGCCCGGCGCAGGGCTTGATCCCAGGACCCTGGGATCATGACCTGAGCCGAAGGCAGAGGCTTTAACCCACTGAGCCACCCAGGCACCCCTCATTTTATTTTATTTTTAAAGAATTAATTTATTTGAGAGAGAGTGTGAATGAGAGTGGGAGAAGCGTCAAAGGGAGAGAAAATCCCCATGCAGACTTCTCACTGAGTGTGGAGCTACCCTGCTCCATCCATCCCACCATCCATGAGACCATGACCTGCCCCAAAATGAAGAGTTGGACGCTTAACTGATGGAGCCATCCAGGTGCCCCAAAAGATTTTTTTTTTTTTAAGTAATCTCTGTACCTAGCGTGGGGCTTGAACTCAAAATCCTGAGATCAAGAGTCCTATGCTCCACTGACTGAGCCAGCCAGGCACCACTTTTAATTTCAGTTTATTGACTTTTGTTTTTGTTTTTTCAGTGGGGTTGGGTACATAGTCCATTGAAATGTAATTACTGATAAGGTAGAATTGATGTATGCCATTACATTGTTTGCTTTCTGTTCTATGTCTTTTTGTTTCTCAGTTCCTCCATTACTTCTTTCTTTGCCTTAAATACTTCAGTTATTTTCTCAGTGGTTGACCTAACCACATTTCAATCACATTTAAACTGAAAACAATCTGGTTTGGACTATTGCCACCTTCAATCATATACGA